AGAGAAGCTGTGGCTGCTCCTCCCTGGAAGTGTTGAAGGCCAGGTTGGATGAGGCTTTGAGCAACCTGGTGATTTGAAAGAAGGTTCATCAAAGGGGAAAGGCAGATGCTTTACCAACACAGAATTGTTGTCTTCCCAACTACTTGTCTCCTGCTTGATGTTCTCTTGGCTCCCTGGTGGTTTCTGTAGCATTTACACTATTCTCAACTATATTTTGGCCATTTTTCATGAGCAAATCAAGCGGAGAAGTCACCTTCCAAACATCCTACCAACCAACTTCCTGAGATGATTGAACAACTTTATTTGTCTTTCCTTCTGCTGGGTTTGCCTTGGTAGTCTTCTTTGAGTGCTCTTCCCAAGACCATATCAGATGGTGTTTTGGAGTTGCAATGGACTGGTCTACAATGCTGGTGTTCCATCACTTGCCATGAACTTCTGGACACTACCAGAAGTGGGAGGAGAACTTTCTCGCCCCATGGCACAGACATCTCTGATATAATGGACCTTCAGGACCTAACCTTCCCTCTTGGGACAGCAGGCATTCAATGCATGCCATGATGTCCACTAGTGAAGCAATACCCTATGAAGAGACTAATAAATAATTTGATTAAGCAACAACCTGATTAATTAATGATCATTATCCACCTGCAATCTGATTTTGCACGTGATGAAACACAACGGTCAAGGTGTCACTCTTGAATCTTGTGAATCCCACCCTACTGCTGCTGAGTTAGTTTCACCACCTTTCCCTCCTCATAGTTCTTCACACCAGGGTGCAAATGTTTCCCTTCTTACCCTCATACATGAAGTTTTTTGGACATATCCCTGATGGAGAGTCCAAGAAGTTGTCCAAGGGCATCTCATGTGGTTGAGTGCCCAGGTCAACATCACAGAATCACAGAATTGTAGTGGTTGGAAAAGACCTTTAAGATCACCAAGTCCAACCATAAACCCAACACCATCAATTCCACCTCTAACCATGTCCCTGAGCACCTCGTCTACCCATCTTAATGTTGGCACCAAATCCCACACCCATGGGATGACCAGCTCCTTGGTTGGATATCCATCTTCCAAGGCTTCTTACATTCAGGGAAGATCTCCTTAGCCCAGATCAGAGATGACTAGGTCAAGGAGGACCTCCTTGGCCCAGGAGTAATGGAACACTTGGTCTCTTTGGGAGGCTGGTCCTAAATTTTGGTGCCACCACCTCTCTCAGGCTGAGCAAAGATGGAATTGGTACCACTTTCTCCTTATGGTTGGAGAAGAAGAAACCCTTCAGCTCCTCTTCTGTCACTGAGGACATGACGTTTTGCTCTTGTCTACTCTGTACATAGACCATGGGTCATCTGGCCTCAGTGTAGACCTTGGCACATGTCCAGCTACCTCTATGCTTCCTCACCATGCCAGACAACTCCTCATCTCCCAGTACATGGTTGAAATTTATCTCCAGCTCCCTGCTCTGGGTCCAAGGTGGGAGAGCATCACTGCTGTGTGCCCTGGGGGTGCACGGGGTGACCCGGGGTGCATGGCTGGGTGCCAGGGGCTGGTAGACCTGGAGGGTCAAAGGATCTCAGATCTACTGCAGTCACAGAATCCCAGAGTGGTGGGGGTGGGAGGGGCCCCAGGAGGGCCACCAGG